GAAAACTGACACGACTCAACATTTTATTAAAAACAACAATTGATTTTGTAATTTTTTGAATATAAGTGTGAAATAAAAACAAAAATGATATTATTTAAAAATTTATTATTTATTTAAAAAGTATATTATATATAAATGTTTTTTTACAATTTTCTAACATCTCCACTAAATGGATTGTAAGTTATAACTTGATCGTGCAATATTAGACAATAAGCTGCAGTCTTGGCTGGTACGTCTGCGGTGGTCTCGAACTCTATACGTAAGTCAACTGTAGACGATTTGACATTATCATTTTGACGTGATAAATCTACAACGACTATAGGTACAAAGTCTTGAAAATCCTTTTTCGAAAGTATTGGTAAAGAATTGTCTCTATCATAGTACGATTTTTGGAAATCAGTATACGCTTTATACAATAGAGCTGTGAATTTATTCGTAAAGTCTGCACGGAAATCTTCATACGGATAAACCTCAGAGTTTAAATGAACTTTAAGATTTTTCAGGTTACAACTATCAAATCGACTGGATTGATTGGTTAAGTTATTTTTTCGATCTGTTTGAAAGCCTATGATTGCAAATCTAGGTTTTTCAAGTAAATTACTAGATTTAACAGTCCACGAATGAGAATTATTTTGCGGTAGGACTGGATACTCGCATAAATCCCAACTTCTGAATGCACACGACAACGTCTTCCGAGAATCTATTACTTTCAATAGTTTTAATTTTTCTCTGTCAGTCACCCTGACAATAGGCATTTTCCAAATAACTTTTTGAAGATCGATAGTTACTTTCTTATTTTTTTCAATGTTTTCTTTTACCGCGGTACCCGTAACGTACAACGCATCGAAATCTGTAGATGATCGATTTAAAATCAATTGTTGATTGCAGTTGAGTAATATTTTCTTATAATCTTCACAAAACCCGAATAAATATTTCAGCGGGATGCATCCAGAAAATGTATATTCCGTCATGAAATCTTTATTATCATCATCGGTCATATGTATATCCCAAGCACTGTTCTGAAGTTCATTCAAGTCGTTAGGTGTATGAGAACAATAGCCCTTCAAACACGACGATATTCCGGGATATTTTAATTTTTGTATTTCTACACCGTTCAATTCATAACGTAGTTCAGAAAATAGAAACGCTAATCCGTTGTTGGTAAATTTAAAATCGCCGATGCCTTGACCCACGTCTGCCGGTTTATTTACTTTTCCTTCAACGTAAATATAACTCTCGCACGGTAACGTGTATGCGTCCATGTTTTGAATTAATATTCTAATTTCATCGTTTTTTGATAGAGCAGTGCTCGAATACGGCAGAAAAGAGTGATATTGCATTTGTATAATTTTACAATCATCGACATACCCTTCGGTTATATCTAAATATGATTCGTCCATTTTCAAAGTAATTTTAACGAACGCAGAAAAGCTTGGTTATTTTTGGTTAATTGTTTTATTTTTCTATTTTTTATAGCTTGTATTACTCGCGGCTTACGTGTTGATTCAACGAGTTTGCTTGTAGTACTGTATGGTTTTTTAACTACAACTCTACTTATACCGACATTAAATTTGAGAGCCATTTTAGTTTTTAATCTGAAGACGAACTGTAATTGGTTCTCCTCGTAAATTTATTAAGTTATTGTCTTGATCCTTTAGCGTTACGCTTACTTTGCTAACAGACGAGTCTATGAGTGGATAGAATACTGAATGTACTGGTACTTCACAGATTTTGTAACCAGGAGCGACAGTAGGACTGAACTCATGTATGGTCCGATCCGGTTCTCCGTTGTTGAATGAACCAGATATTAGATTGCATTCAATTTTTATACTATTGACTTTCATTATGTGTACTATATTAAGCGATTCGTGTACAGTGTTGGCCTTATATTCAAGGTGTTCGAAACCCAACAATTTAGATATATTATTTGAAACAGTGAAATCTATTTTATCATCACACTTCATTAAACATTTCAACGTATTATAATCTGCTTTTAATTCAAATCTAATCGAACCGGGCATCTTTTCTTGTATATACGTTGCTAAGCTGTCCAACTCATAAGTCCCCGTAGGTATAACTATATTATAGCGCTCGTCTTTATCATTTTTAAAACCTATCGTATTACATCCGGTTTCGATATTTGGTATAGAATTATTAGTATATAAACTCAAAAGACACAATTGAGAAGTTTTTTTAACTTCCAATGGAGGAAAAATATCGCACGATAATTCACTCGAATTACCGTTGAGAGTTATTGTATACATAATAAAAATTTTAAACACAAATGCCCACAGTTTTCCGTGTTATATTTCTGATGTCTATCGTAGTTGTATATGATTTCACACCCGTTCAAATATGTCTGTAGTTCTTTTGGTGGTGGAATGTTGCCGAAACTATCGTAATATTCTACTGTTTTTCCGATTTTTCTATACGCTACCCAATGCGTGCCCGTACCGTCTTCAATATCCAGATTCACGATCGCAGATTCGATTTGTTTCGGACATCTAGGTAACTTGTCTCTTGAAAATACTCCGATGAAATGAGGTATTTTTAACATGCGAGCGTATTTTATAACTTCATAGTCGAACAACGCTCTATTGGGTAACGTAGATATTAGTTTTTTGTTATTTCCCGTCCTCGAAGTCCGCTACCTTTATAAGGCCGAACATATAACCCACTCCCCTTCTCGATTTTATACTTTCCACCTTTATAGGGCTTTATGTATAATCCTCGCCCTAAATGAGTCGGTACATTTTTGTTAGAGTTCCAACTCTGTATCGTTTTCAACAAGCCCGTAACTCCACCCGTTAACGAGCCTAGGGCCGACAATCCTGCGAAAATAGGTATCAGAGGTAACGTACCACCTGTTTTAGGAATAGGGATGATTCTTGGTGTTTGATTTTTATTTTTATTTTTCTTATGATTTATGCATGAAGCCTTTTTAGCCGCTGCGATACATTTTCGAGTTATTTTCAACAAGTCTTTTTCGCCTTTATTTTTCTTAAGTATGTTTTTAGCCGCCCTCACAGCTGACTTGAACGTACAACCACCTCCTAATTTTCGTTTTAACTTCATTGCAGTGGTCACACCCCAAGCAACTGCTTTTTCTTTTAATGACGAATCTTTGGCCTTAACTCTATCCCAAGCTTTATTCTCTAAAATGTAGTCTGCTTTCCTGCGATCGTCCAACGCGTTACTTCGGTCATATGCGATATCGTGATCTTTACAATACGAATCCAAAGTGTTTACACCACGATCGCCGCGGGCCAACCGTTTTTTCAAATTTGTACCCGGTCCACAGTATTGATAGCCTATAATAAAATATTATATTATTTCATGTACATTTGAATCAAATCAAAAAATAAATTTACCAGGCACATGTAACTCGACAGGAATTTTATTTATAAGCGTGTTAATCAGTCCACCTCCCTTATTCTTGTTGTTTCTTCGAATGGATGACATCGTGTATTGACAATGATTCTAAAGTCTCACTGATATTTATATGGAAAATGCGATTTATAAATCAGGAGGTTAAACTCACCGTCGATAACGTTGATCGTTATTCTTCGACAACACCACAACAGTCGAGGCATGGACCACTTTTACCGAATACTATACGTGCGCTTATCGTAGGGCCCTCTGGTTGTGGTAAAACTAATTTGGTATTCGCCTTATTGACAAACATCAACGGTATAAGATTTCATAATGTATATATTTATTCGAAAACATTGGACCAACCCAAGTATAAAATGCTGTGCGATATCTTAAAAGATATAGACGGTGTTCAATTGTTTACGTTTTATGATAATGAAGAAGTCATACCACCGGAAAAAGCGTTACCCAATTCAGTGTTCATTTTTGATGACATCATATGTGAAAACCAAAATATTGTACGATCGTATTTCTCGCGTGGACGACATAATCGAATTGATGTATGCTATCTCGCACAGTCTTTTTCCCGCATACCTAAGCAACTTTTACGAGACAATAGCAATTTTATTGTATTATTTAAACAGGACGAGACAAACTTAAAACACGTTTACCTGGATCATTGTTCAGGTGACATGAAGTATTCAGATTTTAAAGATTTTTGCACGTCGTGCTGGCGTAAAGGACGATTTGAGTTTGTAGTTATAAGTAAAGATTGTGAACGTGATAACGGGCGATACAGACATGGATTCGATAAGTTTGTTATTATATAAAGCACTGTTATACGTATATTACTTTAATCGTAGTCATGACTTCCGATTGTTCACTTATATCCGAATTAGCTTCGGCAAAAGACAATATTAAACGTAAATATTTCATACTAAAACAAGGTGAAGCAGATACACAGTCATTTGTCTCACAAACATTTAAGCCCATCATCGATCCATTAAATAAAATTCAAAACGACATTTATACACCAGCTGCAAAAGACGAAATAATATCAAAAGAAGATGATGAAGATTACTCGTCAGAAAATGTAATTTACGATACCGTTGATAGTTGGTTCAATTCCAAGCTCATAGATAGGACCTACGGTCCGAAAAGAAATTACAATGGTAATATAAGATTAGGAAATCAAGATATCAAATTTGTAGGAAACACGCTTATCATACAAGATACAACATATCCACTAACGTACGGTATTATTAGCTTAATATTTTCAAAACAACCGAAATTGTACACCGACAGTGACTTAGAGGTGTATAAATCAATATTAATTCAAACTTCGGCCCATCTAACTACTGACGGATCAAAGGTTAAAACCGGTGGTAACAAGTATAAAGACATCATTGCTCGACTTTTCTCTACGGGTACAGGTCTTTCTGTGAAATTACAAAATCATAATATCGTATATTGGAACGATCCAAACGAATTGGTCGATAGACTAAAGCTTCTATTGGCTTCTCAATCAGCGGGTAATACAAGTGTTTCAAACGAGATATTATCGATTTTCGAAGAATTACACGAAGCCGGGATAATAAATAGAATGCCAAATGTCTAAACGTGAAATTGCCCATGAACTTCATCGTCCGTCTAGAAAAAATTATACCAGACGACACGTTAACATTTATGGAAAAAATGACTTGTGGCAGGCTGACTTGGTTGAGATGATTCCGTATTCAAAACAAAATAAAGGATATAAATATATACTATGTGTCATTGATTGTTTTACAAAATTCGCCTGGGCTGTGGCGTTGAAATCAAAAACCGCGGCTGAAGTCTCTAATTCAATGTCGAAAATATTATGTACTCGCACTCCGAAACTTTTGCAAATCGACAACGGCAAGGAGTTTTACAATAAGACATTCGATGCGTTGATGTCTAAATACAACATACATAAATATTCCACGTTCAGTGTTATGAAAGCTTGTATTGTCGAACGATTTAATCGCACATTAAAAGAAAAAA